CCAGCGATATATGGATTTAGACGATGGAAAAAGGAATGGCTTCTATTACTGCTAGCAATGGCATCGGACCGAACAACTTGGAGACATCTTATCGACATTTCTAGAGTTTTTTCTAATAATACTAATATTAATACTTATTATAGCGAACGAAGAGTCAGCCTAACCAGTAATGGTGACAGCTGTTAGGTGAAGAAATATGTGAAGAAATATCTTCTGTCATGGGAACAAATTCTTATCTTATTGGACTATATCACTTTCTTATCATTAATTTAATAATTTATTAGAAATATTGCTTTCAATATTATTTTTTCTTTGACATATTTGAAGGTGATCAAAAAAATTTTATAATTAAAATGGTACGATCTGCATTTTAATTACACCGATCAAGTTCATATTAAGCAACTCGTTTCCGGCAGATATTTTCGTGAATGTTTTTCGATTAAAAAAGGCTTTGTTCCATGAGAAAACAATTCACCTTTTCCTTCTCTTCTAACCATAGGGCTTTTTCATTGATTTCTGAAATTCTGAAACATTCAATTAGTTTATTTATAAAATATATTAATATTGATATTATGTATAAAATCCATAATATAATAATAATAATAATTCAATATGGAAAAATATATGAGAATGGTTAAAATGAAACGAGAATTTACGGGGTTTTTTTGCATTTGTTGCAAGTCAATTTTATCTTCTATAGAATATAGAAGAATCAATGATTCATTCTTTTTTAGTTAATGAAATTCAATGTATCAAAGTATATCAATGATACTCATCAAAAGTTAGAAGAAGTATGAAAGAAATGGTACCAAAATGCAGCAGTGGTGCAATTTTTCCACTTTCATTGGTTAAACACTGGCTAACTATTTATCTATTTTCCAAATCCATTTTTTCGCTAAAAGAAACGGTTCTGCACTAGGAAAATTTTTGTGCTATATTTAAATAACCGTTATAAATAGCACATATGCCATTTTTCTTTTTCCCATCTGGAAGACTTGGCAAAGACTTGACAAGCAATTTTAGAATTCACTACAT